CACCAGGAGACGGTGAGTTCTAGTCCCGCCTTGGCATGAAATCCGACCTTAGGCCAATCACCTAAGGGATTGGTGAGTTCTAGTCCTGCCTTAGGCATGAAAGTCAGCTGGGTGACCTTGGGCCAATCACCAGGAGACGGTGAGTTCTAGTCCCGCCTTGGCATGAAATCCGACCTTAGGCCAATCACCTAAGGGATTGGTGAGTTCTAGTCCTGCCTTAGGCATGAAAGTCAGCTGGGTGACCTTGGGCCAATCACCAGGAGACGGTGAGTTCTAGTCCCGCCTTGGCATGAAATCCGACCTTAGGCCAATCACCTAAGGGATTGGTGAGTTCTAGTCCTGCCTTACATGTGAAAGCCAGTTAGGTGATTTCAGACAGACCGTCTCTCTCAGCCAAGCCCACATTGCAGGGTTGTTGTGGGGGAAACAGGAGGAGGAGGAAAGAGACTTGTGTATGTTGAGGTCCTTGTACGGCAATAAAAGTGGGATAGAAATCACGCAGAAAAGGGAGCTGCCTTCGGACGCCCTCCCCGCATGGACACAACATCGAAGCAATCCTTCCATTTTGACCACGTTTCTTGGTCACTTCCTATAGTGTCCCGTTCGGTTTGAATTCAGTGTTTGAATTTATTTCTATGCAACAACTACAGTAGTAGTCAGCCAACAGATGGTGCTGTTTACAAGGTTGGATCTATGCTATCTATACTTTATACTCTTTTGTTCTAAGGGGAGTTTCCTGCTTCCTGTTACAGTTAAATAGTTGAGCAGTAAAGCACATGGTGATTGTACTCTTTGTGGTGCTCGATATAGACCTGAACGGAATTCCTTAACAGGTTCTCTCGTTCCAGATCCATCGCACATCGCAGAGCCCCTGCCCCCCTACCCGTGGATCAAGCAAGAGACCCTCTACACCAACTCATGCGCCAATGGGACCTTTCCCCACTTGGCTCCCCCAGAGGTGGGGCCTGTAGCCTCGGCACCAGCGCCCGTGGGGGCCTTCGCGGTAGGAGGGGAACCTCCAGTGCCCAGTTTTGGCGACTCTGCAAGCCGGATGCCGCTGATGCCCGAGAGTGTAGCCATGCCAGGGACTCTGGAGCCCCTGTCCGAGGGGGGATGTCCTGCAGCCCCCATCGAGCAGTTCATTCCGAATTTATTGATCAGCCCCCACATGCTGCCATGTAAGCCCCTCTCTCTCTCCCTCTCCCTCTCTCTCTCTCTTTTATGGGGGTACACCGTGGGAATGGGGAGATAAGAGGGACAGTGGGTCCCCTGCTGGCTGAGTTCACTTGACCCACTTCAGCTAAAGATTTAGCAGTCATGTTTACCCAGAATGCCTACGTCGGCTAGCATTACAGGTTGTCCTTGACTTACAACCATTCATTTAGTGACCATTTGAAGTTACAGCACTGGGGGGGAAAAGTGACACGACATTTTTCACACTTACGACCGTTACAGCATCCCCATGGTCACATGATCAAAATTCAGATGCTTGGCAACTGGTTCACACTTATGACGGTTGCAGCGTCCTGGGGTCACGCGATCCCCTTTTGCGACCTTCCGACAAGCAAAGTCAATGGGGAAAGCCGGGTTCGCTTAACGACCGTTTTGCTAACTTAACCACTGTGGCGACTCACTTAATGGCCGTGTCGAGAAAGGTCGCCATATGGGGCAGCAAAACTGACGTTAGCGGCCTCGCTTAGCAACCGAAATGTTGGGCTCAAAATTATGGCCGTA